AAGCAATTTGATTGGTTGATGCTTTGGAACACGATAACTTTAGTTCTAATTAAGTGAGAGTGATGAAACTTGGTGTATAGTTTCATTACATCAATACTTTGACTAAGTTCGATGATGAGAATTTCTGCTGAGGCTAACGAGCAATAAGCATTTTGATTGGTCAAGACTTTGGAACATAACAACTCTTCTTCTAATTGAGGTAGAATGTTTAAACTTGATGTAGATTTTCGTTTTGACAGAGTTCAATGATTAACATATCGAGCTAAACCTAAGCAGAGATAAGCAATTTCCTGATTTGGGACAAGATAACTTTGATTCTATCTGATAGAGAGTGATGAAACTTAGTGTATAGTTGATAATCAGTTTGATTGCTTGATACTTTGGAAAAAAATAGATGTGCGATTAATTAATATGTGTCATCTATTTATTTGGGGATTTCGGCGGGGGACATCAGCCTCACTGTTGGCTTGTTTCTTCTGGAGTTATGGCCCTTGTTTCACTTTGTTGCACCTTGTGAACGCTCTAATGTCAAAAGTTATCAACCGATCTGTATGAAATTTATATGCATCTTTTAAATTAGTAAAACAAAGAAGCTTATTGAATTTCAGCAATTTCCGTTAATTACATCTATAGTTATGGCCCTCGTTTCACTTTATTGAATCTTGTGAACGCTCTAATGACAACAGTTATCATCCGATCTGTTTGAAATTGATATGCATCATTTAAATTAGTGAAACGAAGAAGCCCATTGAATTTCAGCAATTTCCGTTAATTACGCGCGAGTTATGGCCCTTGTTTCACTTTGTTGTACCTTGTGAATGCTCTAACGACAAAAGTTATTATCCGATCTGTATGAAATTTATATGTATCAGCAAATTTCCGTTAATTACATCTAGAGTTATGGCCCTTGTTTAACTTTGTTGAATCTTGTGAACGCTTGAATGACAAAAGTTATCACTTAATCTGTATGAAATTATATGCATCATTTAGATTAGTGAAATGAAGAGTTATAGCCCGATCTGTATGAAATTTATATGCATTATTTGAATTAGTAAATTGAAAAAGCCTGTGGAATTTCATCAATTTCTGTAGATTACTTCCAGAGTTATGGCCCTTGTTTTAGTTTGTGAACCCTCAAACGACGAAAGTTATAATGTCGTCTGTATGAAATTGTCTATTAAATTCCCCTAATTACCTACAAAAGAATAAATATGCGACAACCCATGTCGACTGCTCGGACGATTTAGCTGCTGTGGGAGTATATTTTGTTGCCTGGCAACCTATCTTCTGATTTTGTTGAAACTTGAAATGTAAATTTATAACCCACAGATCTCGGTTCCTTTCGATATTCGCGCATATCGAATTGTCACTTCCTGAATTATGGCCCCTGATTGTACGAAAAATCGCATTTTTAGCTTGTGGACCCTATAGCGGTCATAATTTTTATCTGATTTAAAAAAGCGTTTGAATAAACCCTGTTACACCCTAAGGATGGTTGAGTTCGAATTTCGTAAAAATTGGACCAAAACTGACAGACAAAATGGCCGTCCCTCATACTCAAATAGAGTAAAAATATTGTATATCAATGTTGTGGACCCTCTAGAGAATCACAATTTTCTTCTGATTTTGATGAAACTTGAAATGTAAGTTAATAACCCAAAGATCTTGGTGCCTTTCGATATTTGCGCATATGGGATTGTAACTGAATTATGGCCCCTGATTTTACAAAAAATCACGTTTTTAGCTTGAGCTCCCACTAGAGGTCACAATTATTATCCGATTTAAACAAACGTTCTAATATATCAGCGTTACACCGTAATGTTTGTATAGATTGAATTTTGTAAAAATCGGACCAAAACTGCCGGACAAAATGGCCGCCCCTGGTATATCAAAGTTGTGGACCCTCTAGAGGGTCACAATTTTGATCTGATTTTGATGAAACTTGAAATGCATGTTTATAACCCAAAGATCTTGGTTCTTTTCGATATTCGGGCATATCGGATCATAACTTCCTGAATTATGGCCCCTGATTATATAAAATATCGCGTTTTTATCTTGTGGTCCCTCTAGAGGTCACAATTATTATCCGATTTAAACAAACGCCCTAATATATCAGCGTTACACCGTAATGTTTGTTTAGATTGAATTTCGTGAAAATCGGACCAAAACTGCCGGACAAAATGGCCGCCCCTGGCATATCAAAGTTGTGGACCCTCTAGAGGTCACAATTTTGATCTGATTTTGATGAAACTTGAAATGCATATTTATAACCCAAAGATCTTGGTTCTTTTCGATATTCGGGCATATTGGATCGTTACTTCCTGAATTAATGTCGCTGATTGTATAAAAAATCGTGTTTTTATCTTGTGGTCCCTCTAGAGGTCAAAATTATCATGAAAATCTGACCAAAATTGCCGGACAAAATGGCCGGTCCTAGACGCAAATAGTGTAAACATCTGGTATATCAAGGTTGTAGACCCACTGGAGGTCACAATTTTGATCCGATTTTGATGAAACTTGAAATGCAAGTTTATAACCCAAACATCTTGGTTCCTTTCGATATTCGCGGATATCGGATTGTAACTTCCTGAATTTTAGCTTGTTGTCCCTCTAGAGGTCACAATTATTATCAGATTTAAAAAAACGTTTAAATGTATCACCGTTTCTCCGTGATGTTTGTTGAGTTCAAATTTCATGAAAATTGGGCCAAAACTGCTGGACAAAATGGCCGATCCTTGTATGCAAATAATGTATAGCATCTGGTATATCAAGGTTGTGGACCCTCTAGAGGTCACAATTTTGATCTGATTTTGATAAAAGTTGAAATTCATGTTTATAACCCAAAGATCTTGGTTCCTTTCGATATTCGCACGTATCGGATTGTAACTTCCTGAATTATGGCCCTTGATTGTACAAAAAATCACGTTTTTAGCTTGCGGTCCATGTAGAGGTCACAATTTTTATCCGATTTAAAAAAAAACATGCGAATATATCACCATTACAAACTAAGATCTATGTTCCTTGATCACTTAAAAAAATCTTGTGAATGCTCTAGAGGCTAAAGTTAATATCCAATTGACTTTAAATTTATACACAAATTTACTGCCAAAGTTATGGCCCTTGATTACTTTGAGAAACCTTGTGACGCTCTAGAGGCTAAAGTTATCATCTGATTGACTTCAGATTGATACACAGAGTTTAAGATCTTGAGACGAACAAGTATATTGATTTTCAATGAATTTTTATGATTTGAACAGCTAAATCCATGATATTAAAAGTTTCGTATACTAAATGTTAGCATGGGGGCAGAACTTTATGAAAAACAAACAAATTTTAATGATTTTCTGATAATTACTTCATGAGTTGTTACTCTTAATCAGATTTAAGTGTATTATAAATGTTTCATTACCGAAAAAAGTAAAAATATGCGACAACACTTGTTGACTCCCCGGACGATTTAGCTGCTGTGGGCGTATGTTTCGTTGCCTGGCAACCTATCTTTACTATTTTTTTAGGGAAGGTTCTGTTGAAAGTCAGGTATCTGATGTTTCCTGTATATCATCTGCATCAACCAGCAAAGTTCCGATTTACTCGAGGGGAACAAGAATTCTACCCAATCCAAAATCATCCATTAATAGTAGACCAAGTGCAAAAACCAACCAGATTCAATCAATTAAATCCATTCCAAAATTGTCCTCAAGTTCATTGATCTTTTCAAACGACATCAAGTCAAAATCAGCAATCACATCTTCATGTAAAGTTGGAACTGAAAATATCAAAAATTCTCAAAATACTGTCTCAAATCAGTTTGCTTCCATGACTTCAAAATCTCAACCTGCAAAACCCAGGTTGAAGATAGCAGTAGCTGCCACAAAAGTTTTAGCAGTAAAGAAATTTGAAAATTCTTTGAGAAATCCAAATCTGAATTTGGATAAGCAGAGGACAAAAACAACAGATAAAAAAAGAAGTGAACCTCTGGCAAATAAAATGGGAAATCATTTGAAGAAATCGGCAAACAATTTAACCAAATCTCAAAATGATTTGCTATCATTAAACTCCCAATTAGAAGAAGATTCACAGTCTGTGTGCATTATGAGTGATGGAGAGAGTAACAGCATGGATAACAGTCAACTTCAAGCTGAGTCTGTACCAAATTTTCTCCAGGATTCCAGTGAACAGGTACAAATTAATGATTTATTGTCCAGCAATAATGAAAATCGTAATCAGTCTACCACAAGTGATGGTTTTATCAATGAAATTATTAAAAACGAAGAAACAATTGATTACGAGGATAATGAAAATATTGCTGAGACTGATAATTACAGCGATTTCAAACAACCCGATTGTACAGATGTCAAAATTACAGCCAACATGGGTCAGGCAGCATGTCGAGATACCCGCGTCAAAGATTCTGTTCATGATAAAGCTTCTTCTAGTTACTTCAAGGATGGAGAGGAAAAGATTAAAAACCCAGCTAAAAAATCAGAGAAGGCCTGTGCAGTTAAAAATCAAGAATCTTCAGCAGTCAAGAGTAAGAATCCTGTATCAAAATCTAAATCCAATGGAAAATTTGCCAAAACCAAATGCGACAAAATTTCTACATCAACAACATCATCAAATTTATCGGGTGTAACAAACAGAGAGAAATATACAGAAGATGAAAAATCTACAAAATCCAAGCAGAAGGAAGATAAATCAAGAGAGGTAATACCATGTGGTTTGTATAAAAGTGATGGACAATATCAGCATATCACTGACCTGGTTAAATCACTTTCTGCAGCAGATGAATCACATCAACTTGCCAATTTTTACACTAACCTTGGTCAGAATAACATAAACACTTTACCTGAAGACAATCCAGATTCATACAATACTGATCAGAGTGCAGAACTCTCTCATGTGAACATTGATAAACAAAATGACATATTAATAAATCATTTCGAAAAAGATGATATTGGTGATCGCCAAAACAATATTTTGCAAACTTTAGAATGTGAAAATTTGAAATCTGACAATTTGGATTACCAAAATTTTGGACATTCAGATTCAAACTTATGTGATGAAAGTGAAAGATTAAGTGATGAACATTGTAAGAACCTTGATGTTAATAGTGGACAAAGTGAACACTTAAGTTTATCGGAGAACACTGTAAACAGTCGGTATGGTGTTGATGTCCGTAAAATGGTTGAAATGCATCCAGATGTGAGTTATCGAGGTAGTGATCTAAAAGATGCCTTTTATATTAAAACTTACTATCAACCAGCTGGGATTATACAGGAACTTGAACCATTTATACAGCACAATACAACACTTACATCTCAAAATATCTCAACTGATTGTATCAACAATGGGCACTCGGATCAACAAAATGGACATTCTGGAACAAAAATTGTGACCATGGACTTACCTGTATTAAACAAGGAGGGAAAGCAAAAGGACAAAGTTTTCAAAAAGACAAGTGAAAAAGACCTTATACTGGAATCAGACCATGATATTTCTACAGAAAGAAGCTCTAAATTATTAGAACAAGAAAATGCAGACATTGTAAATAGTGAATTAAGGAATAATGATAAAGATGAAATTAGAATTCCAAGCTCCTCCCATGATAAAGATAAAAGACAGTTTTGTTTGGATGATATTTACAATTCTGATGTGGTTAGATTAATTTATGAAAAAACATGCCAAGATTCCATCGATCATCAAAGACAGCTATTGAGTGATATACTCGATATGTTGCCAAATGAACAGTTTGAGTGTCCTTCCCCTGATGAGTCTTGGTCATCCAGTACAGGTCCTAATGTTACAAATAATGATAACACCAAGTTTGATAGATTATGCACAGTCTTGATTAACCAGACTGATAATAAGCACATATATTCTGCGAAGAATTCCAATAGTTCCTTTGATAATTACCAAGATAGATTAAGTGTAGACTTGAGCATCCAGTCACTAGTAGAGCATGAAGTAGATGTTTTGAAATCTGAGACTGATGTGAAATTAGACTGCAGTAGAGAAGATAAGATGACTTCTGACTCTAAAAACAATTTTGATAAAACAGATAGTGACTTAATAAATAAGCTTATTCATACACCCAAAACTCTGAGAGATGATTTTCTCATGTGTGATGTGCCAAATTTACCGACAGAAACTAACAGTCAACAGATTAGTTGTATTTTATCTTATGTGGACTTCAGAGAAGAAAATGGAGGCGAGGCATTCATAACATCTGGAAATTTTAAAGAAAAAGATTTTATTTCACAGCAAGAATTTTATGACAGTGATGAAGAAAACTTGCAGGAAACTTTATCTAGAGAGGGAGAAATAAAAACCTCAACACCTCGAGGTGAGGGGAGGACTGGCTGCAGTGTGTTTGATGGTAGCGATGAGGGAATAAGCAGTGTTACAACATTTCCTCAAGATATTAACATTACCAACGAAATATCAGGCGCAAAGATAGATGTTAAAAGTCGTGAGTTGATGGATGTAGATTATAACAGTGTTAAGTTTGATACCTCGACAGCTGTGTCTAACAAACTAGAACATGTAAACGGTAAAACTCAAACAGAGAGAGAACAGGAGTACTTCGTCTGCTCGCATGATTACAACAAGACAAATGCTGACTTCACTGAGGTGAGAAATGATAAAACAATATTTTCACATGATTCACAGGAACTGTTTGAAAAAAACTCAAATGAAATACAAGACTTTATTACCTATGAGCAAATTTCTTTCTTGAATTCACAGACTGTTGAACCTTTAGATATTAGCCGGAAACAATTATGTCTGAACAATCAAAACAAAACATTTGGTGAAAATGTTTCGTTTTTACAGCAATGTGATAATCAAGACGGAAGTATAACAAGTGTGAAAACAGACTTTGGATATTTTTGTGATTTGGACAAAAGTTTCAGTTTGCAGTCTAGACATGGAGCCAGTGATAATTCTTTGGATAAAAGTATTGAGGAATCATCAGAAATGTCAACTTCATCGGAAATAGACCATTTTTCAAAAGTTTGTGTGTCATTCTGTCCGACCATGACAAGCTCAGCAGACGATTTAGAGGCACAGACTCGTGAAGCAGCGTGTAGTTTAATGGGAGTGTATCAAGGGAATACAAATGTAAACATGGCTGACAATATGTCTGGTGTAATCAGGGCATATGGAAATTCCTGTGACCCGGTTAATGGTGCTAGGATTCCACTGTCTGCCACTGTTATTTCTGATAATATGGAGAAAAAACTAAACACACCATTAAGCTGTCAAAATTCTGACACCATTAACATAACTGAGAATAATATTGGCAGCTTAAGTGAGATAGGGACCACCAATCAGATGGAACAATACCAGAATAACAAAGTGGTGGAAGAATTCAACAATCGAATTACAAGTAAACACATTACCACACCCACAACAAGAGTCAGTGGTAAATTCTCTAGAACAAACATCAGCAAAAATTCAGTGAACTTTGACAAATCAATGCCTAAAAAGCAACCAGAAAAAATATCAAAATTGGTTTTACGAGATTCAAAGTCTTCGGTTTTAACTGTGAGTTACAATGGCAGCCATATTTCTAGTCACATTCAAGATGGTAAATGTTTTGATAATGCAAAAAACACAAACCTAAATGGTGGAAAAAATTTAGACAACTTGAATTCAACAATGAATGAAGATACAGACTTGTCAGCTCAAAATCGAGATTGTAAATTTTACATCAATGAAGGATTTACATTATCGAGTGCAACGGTAAATAAAATCTTTTCAGACAAAATGTTGGTCCAGGAACAAAATAAAATGGAGGAGAAAGATAAAACACCTAGGAATGACCATACAACAGCTGCTTTCTCTGTTGCAAATTCTGACAGGCTTCAAGATTCTGCAGTGTTTATCTGCAATACCCAGTCACACTCTATTTTATCAGAATCTATGATGAAGAAAAATGAAATTCCAAACCTACAAAATAACTTGATGTCAGAATTCTCTAATTTAAAAGTTCAAACTACAAATATGCAGGCAAATAGTTTATCCAATCATTCTCAAATGAAAATAACTGCAGGATATTCAACTCAACGAGCTGCTTCAAATTGGGGTCGTCTTCGAGCTCAACTACCACAAATTGAATCTACAAAGATGACAAATAATAGCAAGGTCAAAGGTCAACCTACGATAAGTTGCAACTCACCAGAGTTTAATGAGAGAATTGTTCAACTCAGACAATCTGCAGAGAAGTTTGATCAGGCTCGTAATAAACAAATTAAAGGATGCAATTCACCCCAGCTGGAGAGCAGATTCTGTCGTGTGGCAAAGGCAGTTATTGTTAAAAGTAAAGCAAATGTGATGAGTGAAATAGAGCTGGCTGAAATGAAAATTAATCAACACAAAGAATGTTTACCTGTCTTAAGTGTGGACCTTCCTGAAAACTTGGATTTAAATATACCAAAAGACCAAAACATGATCTCAGAAAATCCACCATTAGAAAAACCGGTTGTAAATCAGGACAAGAAATCTAAGACCATCAACAAAACTGAAAGACGGGAATCAACTAAAACCAGGAGCAGTAGTTTTAAACAGAAATCAACAAAAATACAATCTGAGGAAGAGGTGGTGTCAACAAAACATGCAACCTTGACAAAACCTAAAAACGATGAAAGGTTGATGGAAAATAGAGACTCCACTATGACACAGCAAAAAATCAACAATCCATATAAAAGTAATACTTCAACAAGAATCACACCCAGCACCAAAAAATCATGCAAACCCAGTTCAACTTTTTCGCGGAAAATTCCATCAGCAAACAAAGGATCAAATAAATCAACAATTTCTGTCATTGACCAATTGAATAAACCTGAAGTTACATCTGATCACAATGGACAAACCACAGAGATAAATATTGTGGCAATAAATGATGATCAAGTTGCAGAGATGAACAAAATTATCCTGGCAATAAAAGAAGGAGGAGGAAAAGATATTAGTGAGATTCCAGAAGCTGGCAAAACTGATGATGAAAGTAATCAAGCTGAAACTTGCTTAGAAGTTACTTCACTCAGAAGTCAGAATGAAGAAGTGACATCACAAGAGACCGAATTCAATCTAGAAAGAATTTTTCAAACAAATCACCAGGATCACATTATTCCTCAGTCGTTAGAAGAAGACGGCAAATTGAACAGATCAGAAGACCAAATAGTTGATTTATTAATTGATGAAAATAAAATGCATCAAGAAACTGAATCTGAAAACATAATGAATAAAAACAACCAGGTAGATAGAGAAACAGATCATAATCAGTCTGTCAACGATGAACAGAGTAGCAGTCAAACTATTGTTAATGATCAGCCTATTTCGCAAAAAGTTTCTATGATTACACTGATCAAAGCCCCTGTGAAAGCATTCCCTCAGCAACAGCCAAAACCGACTTCCCCCCAGCCACAAATAGCGGAAATACCAGATGTTACATTGCAGAATCAGGACGATTCTTCTGAACTCTCGGAGGATGATCCTGAAATAAAAATGGCAAGATTAAACCGCTTCAAGGCAACAAAAGCTCTGTGGAAAAAAACTATAGGTCAGTTAATAAATAATGCAAAAACTCCTGAAAGCCCAGAGAAAGATCAGGGAGAGACTGACACTTCCAGGAATAAACTGAGTCCAGGAAGAGATAAGATTTTAACCATCAGGAGAAGTTTGAATGAAAGACTTACAACACCGATTATGTCCCCTATTCCAACACGGAAATATCTGTGGGTGAAAGGCGAAGGTGGAATATGGAAAAAAGAATACTGTGATTCCCCACAAGATGGATCTCTTTCACCATGTCCTGGATATTCACATCCACAATCTGTATCACCCTGTCCTTTCCGATCACCTTCACCTTCCAGTTTCTTAAAAGATGTTCGTCCTGATTTTTCATCAGACAAGATTTCAGATGTGAAAAATGTAAGGAAAACCTTAAAAAGCCCTTCAAATATTAGTAATGCTACTGACCATGCCCAAACAGAATGCAGTCTATTAGTGGCTCCAGAAATAATTCTTAACGGAGAAGACAGCACATTAACTGCTTCAAAACCAGACATGATCCATGGTCTAGGAATAATAACTGATGAAGAAGAAATTACTACAGAAGAGAAGAAATTAAGTCAAGTTAAGGAAATGACATCTGAAAATGAGGAAGGAAGAACTTTGGAACTAGGAGGAAAACCATCAGAAATTACGAAGCTTAATTTGAAAATTACAGAGAGGAATCTTGAATTTGAAGAGAAATTGATAGAGATCACAGAGAAAAATGCACAAGATGATTTAGATGTGGAGACATCAGACGAATTTGAAATTGAGCCTGTTTACGAAAACATTGGAGCAAGTATGAAGATGGTAATTAAAAACAAAAACATGGAATTGGCAATAGGTGAGATTCCTGAAAACCACAAGACCAAAAATGACCCCAAAAACCTCACAGAGAGATCTAATAATAGAACATCAGGAATGTTAATTTCAGATGTTATCTCAAATACAAATATTTCACTGAATGAAAACATGAATATTAACACCTGCTGTGATCCCCATCTATGTCATGATGTCGTGTCTACACATGTCGTTTTTCATGGGAGTAAAACATCAAATATAAATCACACTGAAATACAACATGTTTCAAATACTGAACTTCAAAATAAAAATATTATGCAAAAAGTCATGAAAGATGAATATAGTAGCTCTGATGAAGTGTGTTGCAAAGATAAGATTTTAGACCCAAATAATCAAAAACAGGATTTAGCAAAAATTCCTGACTTTCAAAATAACATTGTTCATAGACCAAACATTTTACAGATGCAAAAGTTAAATTCTAACTTTGAAACAGGGTCAGTAGAAATCAAAGGTCGTGAGAAAACTCATGACAAAGGCTTTCAATCTAACGATGTTTGGCAAGGAAGTGTGGAGTATATTCTTGAAAGTCCTGTTGTCTGTAAGTTACCTGAAACAAAGGAAACAAGGATTTCTGAAACATCCATTGATCATCATTTCACAGAACTGAAAGTTGTCTCCCCTGATCAGGAAAATGTTACTCAACAAAATGGTACTTGCATGTCAAATTCATCCACATATCGTGAAACCATAGCAGCACAAAATGTGGTGGTTCCAAGACGGATGAAAAAACAAGTGAAATCTAAAAATTTGAAACTGTTGACAGAAGGTGCCGTTCGTTGTCCATCATTAGTTTTAGAAGAATCGTATTCAGATGAGGAATTACTGGATCACGAGGATTCTAAACTCAGGAAATGTGTTGTAAAATTTGATTCATGTAAAAGTGTTTATTTGGATAATAGCAGTAGTTTCCGCCAAGAAGAAAGTTCAGAGAAAGGGCAGCAATGTCATTCTGTACCTGAAACAGAAAATGGGAAGGTAAGACCAAAATTTTATTTTTATAGTGCTGAGGCTGCATTCTCAATCTTGACTATACTTAATCATTGAAAAATATCTTGAAAGTTATTCACTGATTAAATCTATAAGTGGAATTTATTTTAATGTTTGCTGTATTAAGATAAATGTACAGTATGCACTTGATCTGTAAATTCTGATATATAAGTAATTCTATAAATTCCAAATATTTGTAGCAGTGGAATTTTTTATTCTTGTAGCCTTCTAATAGAAAAGCATTTTAAACTCATGATACTTTTGATAATAAACACGGATATTCAGATATAAATTACATCATAATTATAATAAAATTTTTATACGCCCACATGGAAATGTGGTCATATATTGCCGTTGCCTCCGCCCGTCGTGCACAATTTCTTGTGAACACTCTACAGAATACATTTATTATCTGATCAGTTTGAAATTGATATATATTGTTAACATTAGTGAGACAAAGAAGCCTATTTAATTTCAACAATTTCAATAAATTGCTTCAAGAGTTACGGTTCTTGTTTCACGTTGTTGAACATTGTGAATGCTCTAACAACAAAAGTTGTCATCTGTTCTGTATTAAATTTACATGCATTATTTAAATTAGTAAAACGAAGAAGCCTATGGAACTTCAGCAATTGCCGTTAATAACTTCTAGAGTTATGGCCCTTGTTTTACTTGTTGAACCTTGTGAACACTCTATTGACAAAAGTGATCAATCATCCCATCTGTATGAAATTTATATGCATTATTTGATCACTAAATCAAAAAAGCCTATTGAATTTCAACAATTTCCATTCATTACTTCTCCAGTTATGTTGAACTGTGTGAGTGCTCCATTGAAAAAAGTTATGTATGAAATTTATATATGCATATAGATCACTAAAATGAAAAAGTATATTGAATTTCAACAACTTCTGTTAATTTCTTCTAGAGTTATGCCCCTTGTTTCACTTTGTTAAACCCTTTCTGAAGACTCTAACTCTAATGACAAAAATTATCATCCGATCTGTATTAAATTTAAATGCTTTATTGAGATTAGTAAAACAAAGACGCCTGTTGAATTAAAGCAATTTCTGTTAATAACTAATACAGTTATTGCCCTTGTTTCACTTGTTGAACTTTGTGAACATTCCTTCTGTATGAAATGGATATCGGTGTCTTGTAAATGCTTCTATTACCTACAAAATAGAAATAATTTCTCCTAATTCCAAAATATTGGGTGAATAAAAAATATTTAGAAATTGTTTCCAAAAGTATTCTTTATAATTCACAGAAATTTCATGTATAGATAAATACTTTATGTATCTGATTTCCATATCATATCATTGCAGTCTACATGTATATATTGTAATCTTGTTCCTTCCAATATTAAGAGATAGAACTAACAATGCCATTTACATAATTTGACCTTTTGATAAGAATCCATCTGGAAGTAATTGATGGAATAGGTGATTGACATTTCATTAAATTCTTGATTATGTGAGAGAATGCTTTAGGGATCAGCTCTAACAAGGGTGTAAGAACTGGCAGAAATTGCTACGGTATATGACTCCAATTGTTGAAATAAATGCCCTGTATAGCGATTTAGATGCCGCCTGTTGTAGTGTAATAAAGGTATCCAAATAAACCGCTGATGTTCTTGAAGAATTAATGAGTGGATATAGAGTGTCGTCTGTTAAGGAAAATGTGCTTAGAAATCGATTTTTGTTGCACCCCCCCTGGGTCTAAAAAATGTTGCCATTTTCTTATAATACAAGGTTTCTAGTGATGGAAAATCCATATTCCCACCTTCAGATATTGCCAGTTTTTAAAATATTACCCATTTACCCAGGGTCTCGGTCAATTTATCATGCTTATCTAACATGACTTTGACGTCGTGATTTTGGATGATAAAATTACTGCCGGTGAATGATTTTTTTCGTGTGTACTGCCAAAATGCATAGCAACATTCGAAAAAAAAAATTATGGAAATATCTCAATTTGTATTTGCACAGGACCAATAATAAACGCCCACAAAGCAGTAATGTTGCACATCGTAGCATGTTTTTGTCTATTTATGAAAATACAGCGTCATTGTATTGATATTGAATTGTATTTATTATCAGAAATCATACATAAATTTGATAATTGCATAGACATATTTGATTTCAACCAAAAAAACAATGCATAAACGTGATATTTCAAATAGGGGTCCCAGGTAAAAAGGTATAAGGGGAGATAACTCGTATCATAAATGTCCTATAAATATTGAACAAAGACCAAATTTCCCCCTTGGCAACTCACCCTATCACCAAACAAAGAATGAAAACAAATTTAAAACATTAATCTTTTATTTAATGACTAGTATTAAAGGTTTAAATAGATATAAATTAAGCCTGTGTATTGCAATTTACAATTACATTTCAATATCAATATTTTTTTTAAAATACAGAAAACCTTTTTTTAATTTTTAATAACTGTTATATCAATAATTTATTTAAATCTTGCTGTAACAGTTGTGCAATAATTAATGCTTAAATAGTGAGAATGTAAAATATAAAAACATATAAAACAAACAGTTAAACAAAGTACTAAAATCAACAAATGGAAAAGTATTTACACATTTATTTATCTTAAGATATATTGTTTGGGTTTTTTTTAAAGATATAAATCATGCCTGTGTATTGTAATTAAAAACAACATTTCAAAAATTAATTCACATAAATCATATCCACTGAATGTTGTTTTATTGCACGCTGACACTGCTATCTGGTTATTTTGCACCAATCCACTTGCAATGGCAGATAATTCGCCTACATATTAGTAGTACAGTAGGACAAACCGGAATACCCCTGCATACTCCCACACCTTGTCATTGAGAAGAGGATTCAAACCGTTGAGCCCATTAATGACAGACCAATTGGCTAAATCGCCCCCACCCCCAAAGGACAAAACCATTGTACAGAAATAACAAATTATTACCGGTAGTTTGAAATGTCGACTTGTTCAATGTCCTTTGCCATCTTAATAAACATATCTAATAACTTGGCCATTCACAGAATTTCTTTGTTGAAAATAATTTTTTTTCTAATCACATCTTCACAAAATATATCAAAGGTTGTCTCATATGCAGACACCTCTGAAGACCTGAAAAATTAAGTTCATAGTTACTACACGTACAAGGAAATCCCATCCTATGTGATATTTCCATTTAAGATTTAACGATCAATCGCATGTATTGGCCTATGGTCGATTAAGAAAAACAAACATATTAATACACTTTAAACTTATCATATCACAAACAAGTCTTGACAGTACAAAAGTGCTAGTAAAAAATGTTCACACATTCTTAGAACGGATGTACTTTGTTTTAGTGCATTTGGACACCACAATCTGGTCATTTTGTGCCAATTCACTTGCCATCAAAGATACCAGCACTACTTATACTATAGAGTAAATCGCCTACTCCCACACCTTGTCATTGAGGTCGCTGATAATGGGATTCGAACTCAAGTCCATTGATGACAGACCTTTTTGTAACCACTTGGCTATATAAATCCCTTCCCACCCACTAGTTGCCTATGTAGGCCTATGATATAAAATAGATATAACAACAAGCCACAAGGACACAACAACTACTACAAGTATGAAATAAACTTACCCTGACGACTGAACTGTGGGTTTTCTTGTTAGGAATCGAACATAATCCTTGTAGCATTGTAGATGGTACACAGTCTTTATCTCTGATGTGCCTGAGAATGGTTTCATCTTCTTTCTTAATTGCTGCTTCTCGAAGTCACTCTAAAAAGATAAGAAAAATTGTAAATATCATGGATATGATGACAGACTGATAGATAACACCTATCGGCCACCTGACCACTCTCCCCAATAAAGGCCTTTTACGACACGCTGAGGAGGGGCGATGGACCTATTCCACTACCTAACACTGGGCATAGCCAGGAAAGGAGGGTGGGGGGGACAATATTAAATCACAACGGTTGAACAAATAATAAAAACTCACCCCCATCTTTAGTTTCTGCTAAAACCAGTTTATCAGAGAAAGTCTTATTCTGACACCTGTAGAACAAAGGTACTTTTTTGCAGATAATGCACACAGGAGACAAGACATGTCCTCTTGTAAATATTGCTCTTCTGTTTTCAAATATTATTATCGCAGGTGGACAGCTTGGGTGGTTGATGATTTAGTGGCGGCTGATCGCAAACCTTTCTAGACGTGGATTGACTCTCATCACTCGTTTGCTTCTCACCAGACTGTAATGCAACTCTTTTAGTAGCTCCTTCAATCTTTGTTCTGTCTGTGAATCTCGAATAACACTTGGAATGATAGCCATAAACCGGTAGTGCATCATCTTTATTCCCTATAAATACAAACATACTCCTAATATTATTGCACACATAAACAAAATAAGCAAATTAGAACCTGAGAGAAGAATTTAGGTGCAACAAATATCCATAATAACAATTACTTTTCTTTTATGAAAAACAATAAGACACTGCCACCTGTTTGCACTTGATTTGTGAAAAGACACTTAGACAATCTGGGGTTAATAAAATAAAACCAAAGGCTAGCGTGAATGCTATCGATTTTAAAACAAACCTATCTATGAACTATATAACGAGACTATACAAATGAATGTCAACAAACATTATTATTATTTATCGTAACTTGCACACAGCAATGTCAACAAACAAGAAATATTATATACGGACGTAAGCTCCCGTTGCGTTGTACTGTCCCGAGCATTTGTCATGAGCACAGGTGTCTATAAAATTTAATCTGCCTATCATTAAGAATTTAATTTAAAATGTAAACAACAAAAAATTTTGTGTTTCGCGAAAAAATAAAACGGGGACTCTACTTTCAATTTTAGTATGATTTAGTTGATAAACTTACCCTCAAATACATCTTAATATTGTTGGCACAATTTTAGCTCGTTTCCATCAAGATTAGTCCATTCTTTTAAACTTAAAACAACCTTATTCCAACTGGTATCTGTAAATTTAATCAGCTTTCCACAATCTTTGTCTACGAGGTGAATAGGGCACTTCATCGTCTCAAAGTAAACACGCCAACTCAGACTCGCCTTTTGACCTGTGAACTTGAGGTCAAATTGGCGCGTAATATTATCTAGAGTGTTTTTGATTGGTTGTTTGTGTTAATGATATGCATAAGGAGTAAATAGTGGTTGATAAACTTCATGGCGCTAACAGAAAGTAATTCAAACTTGCGATGACTCGTTTATAAAAACTGGAACATTCTAGAAGCGGGAAGGCGTTTTTTTATCCATATAAATTCACATTTTACTTATGTGTGACTTTACAACTAAACCCATATTATAGAATTTTTTTGAAACGATAGCTATTGACAGATGACACTCTAATAAACTGTACTAACTTTAGTAACGGATCTTATCAGCTCTGTTCTCTATCCGTTACTATCCGTTAATATGAAAATAAGGCTTTTCCCCCACCTGGGTTCAAAGGCTATTTTGGAATCCTTACCATCTATTTTTCACTGTGATTCTTCTTTAATCACCAAAAGGAATCATTTCTTGTCACATCCGACACAAATTTATAATAATCCAACACTATTTTCATGTAGAATTGTTTGATACAAAAACACAAACAAGATTAGTATTTAATTTTAACAAGCGGTTGCCATGCAAGATACGCCCACATTTTGCAAGCTAAATAAAAGCAATTTTTTGTACAATCAGGGGACATAATCCAGGTTCAATATGCACAAATATCAAAAGTAATCGAAATCTCTGGGATATAAACAATTTTATATCTAGACGTCACAATTTTTATCCGATTTCGATGAAACTTAGAATATATGTTTATATCCGAAAGATCTTGGTTCCTGTTGATACTCGTGTATATCGGACCATAGCTTCCTGGATTATGGCCCCTGATTGTACAAAAAATGAAATTTTTTATACGAACACATTTCAATGTGGTCATATATTGCCATCAGACCATCGGTCCGTCCAACGGTCCTGCGTCCACAATTGCTTGTGGAGGCTCTAGAGGCTAAAGTTAATATCTGATTGACTTTCAATTTATACACAGTATTAACAGTCATTAGACGAAGAAGCCTATTGATTTCCGATAATTACTGCCAGAGTTATGACCCTTGATCACTTTGAAAAATCTTGTGGACGCTCTAGAGGCTAAAGTTACTATCCATCTGATAGACTAATAGTAAGTGCAGGGGGACTGCACCACACATAATTTACACAAAAACAAATATACGGACAAGACATATTACGCAGAACTCACAAACAAACGCACAATTCAAATAAATTGAATGGATCCGGGGGCTAGCCGTAAGCGTCCACTGCGCTGTCCAGGCCTGTAGTGACACAGACTTCACTCAAATTTGAAAACAATCAGGAATAAAACCCAGAGAAACCATTGTGTAATGCCAGCATGAGTCATGATCTGCTATATGTTACAAGAAATATGAATGTAAGCATATTGTAGTAAAATTTAACTATACGTAGTCTAAAACTAAATGTTCTAAGTCAATTAAAAAACGTTTTAGTATTAGCATTCAATAGAATAGAGGCATATTGAACACAGTAGGGTAAATGTTCCACCCTAAAATATATATGATAAATCTAATCTGTAAAATTTCAAAGAGCATATTTCAAACACATTTTATCATACATATACGAACATATACTTCTAGCTAAATTTGTTCACATTTAAATAATTCTGTGCATATACATAAGTATATTGTATATTCATAAACCTTCTACCTCCTTTATATGTGCCTTTGTATACCTTACATCATTCCACCTAAACTGATGAGAGAGCACACTTGAGTTTGGGACAAACCTGTTTTCTAATGTACATCATGAAAACCTTGTAAAATTGTTTGATAAGATAAGTATAATCTTAAATCCAGGTTAAAAATGTTAATCAATCAATCAAAGCATCGTATACTGGCCATTGTAGTATAATTTAAAATGTACAGCCACTGAAGCTCGCAAATTGGCCCTTCCAACTTTGGATGTATGTAGTACCAGCTTGTCTCCCTAAATTGCTATCAACTTTCGATTTTCGGCTCCACTTCGTTTAAAGATATATGAATTTAGACGCAACGTCATGTGTAGCACCCGATAGCTTTTAAAAAGGAAAGATAACGCTGTATCCATCAAAATTTGATTTGTAAACAATTCCAATGAAAGTCCAAAACAGTCCCTTGCTCTTTCGCTACACGTGCTCACTCCGTGACCTCTATCACCGTCAAAATTACCGTTATAACGTTGTCTTAACTTAAAACCAACAGCAAAATCCCACACCCGAAAAAGTAGCACAAAAAGTATAATTGCTGTGACATGATATAGGTAACACTATCTTGTAAATAAACCCAGATATCCGAATATTATAACTATTATCACCATCAACATTATTCTATTATATGCATTTATAAATAATATACAATATATAATGTCTTGATATATTAAGCAGTATTATAATCCGATTAACTATCTTTACCCTGATCTCCCCACACCCTGACCGCCCCCCCCCCCCACACACACCCTGACCCCCCCCCCATCCTGACCACACCTTGAGATATATTAGTTACATATCCCATGAACGTGACCATTACTCGCTTTGTCACTTACAAAAGCTTTACTATCTGTTGACACTAACTTAGTCCATCCTATCAATATCAATTTTCACCCTTATATTGATCAATAGTTGCTTTCTGTTTAAAGTACTCCATATGTCTGTTGTGACCCCCCTACACCCTTGTAAATATTTGTTAACATTTTTTGTCTTGTACCTTTATTTTGTATATTTTTCTTCTAAATGTAAAACACATTGTATACTTTTGATCACATTTTTCCTGGAGGTAATACATCCCTTGGTAAAGTTTTATTTCATCTTAACTTATTGTCATCGTATTATTGATTATTTCTTATATTATTATCGGTGTCGATGCCAGGCCTACATCACACATTGTAAATTTATATTATCTGCAGGAAATACAACTATGTCGATAACCAGTTATTTTAATCCAAACACTATCACTTAATATTTAAATATATAACGCTAAACGATATAGTTTGTACTTCTTACAGATACTTAATAACTTTTAGTCTTACGAAGACCTGCTTATCTTTTAATATTAACCTTTTAACATTGTGCGGGGATATCCACCCAAATCCGGGACCTGATAAATTTTCGATTCTGCATTTAAATGTGCGAAGCATTAAACACAAAATTGACGAAATAACGGTAGAATTAAAAGATTTCGATATACTAACTTTTTCTGAGACATGGCTAAATAATAACACACCTTTAGATATTTTGAGCATACACGGTTATCATCGACCCGTATTATTGAATCGCGAAGACGGTAGGGGTGGCGGGGTTGCAATTTATATTAAATCAAACCTATATTTTAAACCACGTTATGAACTTATCATTAAAAAACTCGAGGCGATTTGGGTAGAGGTGCATTTCAGAAACAAAAAGTTTTTAATAGGTTCATTTTATCGTCAACCTTCAGCTTCCATTGATTATTGGGACCTCGTAGAAGAAAGTTTTAATGCAACTCGTGATTTTGTTGACTATAATATTATTATTTTAGGAGATTTTAACGTTGATTTTCTTGCTATTAAAAATAGCAGACTACATAATCTGATAAACACTTTTAACTTCTCTCAAGTTGTAAAACACCCAACACGTGTTCAGCCGAACTCTAAATCATTGATCGACCTTGCTATCGTGAGTTGTCCTGATTACGTGAGTAGTGTTGATGTGAGGGATTCTGGCTTAAGTGACCATAGCCCGATAGTTTTACATTTCAATTTTAACAAGCTAAAACCCCATTGTTTTAATAGGACCATTTGGAATTACAAGAATATGAACGTTATAGGGCTAAACGAATTTATAAATAACTTTGACTGGGATAGTACTTTTAACTCTATTGCTTGTCCACATGAATTAACTTTAAATGTTTCAAAAATTTTATTAAGTGGTATTAAATCATTTGTTCCAAATAAGGTTATAGTATGTCGACCCAAGGATCCCTTATGGATAAATGCGCATCTTAGAAAACTGATAAGGCAAAGAAATAGAATTCATAAAAAGGCTAAACTTTCAAACGATTCGAACCATTGGTACTTATTTAGACAAAAACGAAATTTAGTAACAAACGAAATCCGAAAATCCAAAAAAGCCTACTTAGATAAAATTGATAGATTAATAGACGAAAATAACTTTAATGAATCAAAATGGTGGTCTTTGATAAAAAACGTTTCTTTAAATAATGGAAATTCTGAATACAAACTACCGCCACTTAAATCGAAAGATACTGTCTATTTCGAAAATGTTGATAAGGCAAATCTCATGAACGATTACTTTGTATCCCAGTCAGTAACAGACTCTAAATCGTCCAATGATCTCCCTTTTGTTACAACGTACAACACGATTATAAACGACCTCTCTGTAAATCCATATGACGTTAAACTTACACTACTCTCTCTAAAAATGAAAACATCCTGTGGTCCTGACAACATCAATAATATTATTCTGAAAACCGTAGCCAATTCTTTTAGTAATCCCCTATCCAAACTTTTTAACATTTTAATAGAAAATTGTATTTTCCCAAACTGCTGGAAAGAAGCTAATATAGTTCCGATATATAAGAAAGGCGATATTCATGATTGTTCTAATTATAGGCCTATATCTCTTCTCAGCTCGATTGGAAAAGTATTTGAAAAAATTGTATACAAACATATTTTTAATTTTACTCTACGCCACAATCTTATAACCCCTTTACAGTCGGGCTTTCAACCAAATAATTCTTCCGTTTACCAATTGATTGAAATGTATGATTATATATGTAGAGCCATCGACAATGGACATGAAGTCAAATCCATCTTTTTTGATATAAGTAAAGCATTTGATCGTGTTTGGCACGAGGGCATTTTGCATAAACTAAATTCGGTAGGTATCAGAAATAATACTCTAAAATTAATCGAAAATTATTTATCTAATCGAAAACAAAAGGTGCTAATTGGTGGCCAGAGTTCTTCTCTTCAAAATATTACCTCTGGGGTACCCCAGGGTTCCATTTTAGGTCCGTTACTATTCCTTATTTACATAAATGATATTGTAAATGACATTGAATCTAATATACGCTTGTTCGCTGACGACACTTCTCTTTTTTTAATAATAAATAACCCTAAAGATGCACAAGCCATTCTAAATAGAGATATTGAAAAGATATTTCAATGGTCAATTAAATGGAAGGTGGATTTTAACCCATCAAAAACTGTAAGTTTAACCTTTTCAAGAAAATTATCACCCTCAATCTTTAAATTATCGCTAAACAACTCAGATATAAACGATGAAATAAGCCATAAACATTTAGGCCTTCTTTTCAGTAAGTCGTGTAACTGGGATATGCATATAGATTACCTTACGTCGAAAATAAGCAAACTGATAAATTATCTGCGAAGTTTTAAATACCGTCTAAAACGAAAAACATTAGAAACTATATATAAGTCATTCATTCTTCCAATTTTCGATTATGCAGATTGTGTATGGAATAACTGTTCTAAAGACAAATCAACCCAACTTGAAAAACTCCAACTCGACGCCTTGCGTACTATAACCGGTCTTCCACGTGGTACCTCTCATAATATACTTTATACGGAAACCGGAATATGCCAGCTTCAACTAAGACGCTATCAACATAAAATGATACTTTTCTACAAAATTTTAAATGGACTAGTTCCTAAATATCTAACCGATATAATCCCACCTCTTGTATCCGCCGACCAACCCTACCGTCTTCGTAACTCAAACCAAATTAAGCAAATAAACTGTAGAACATTACTATACCAGAATTCTTTTTTTCCTTCCTCTGTTAAACAGTGGAATGATCTAAGTCATCAAATAAAAAATTCCAAAACTATTTCTGAATTCAAAACTAAATTAAAATCAGGCATGCGCTTAATCGAAACAAATGCTCAAGACATCTACAGATAATACATTGTAAACTACGAAACTCAAAGAGCGACTTAAACCTTCATAAGTGTTTGATGCACATATCGGAAAATCCCTCATGTTTTTGTGGTCAAGGTGTCGAAGACTGTGAACATTATTTCCTACACTGTCCACTATACAATTCTCAGCGAAAAATCACAATAAATAAATTAGGTTTTGATCATAGGAATATTCAAACAATACTTTTTGGAAACACCGCTATTTCTTTTGATGAAAATTCTTTAATCGTTGAAATCGTACATAATTTTATCAAACTAACTAAACGCTTTAAAACTGCCTAGATCATTACTGAAATTCCCCACCCCCTCCAGTTAGCAGATGAACTCATAAAATTCATAAAACTTGATGAACTAATTTTGGGCCTCGGCATCGTCATCGTCTTATTGAATATCTATCGTTATAATCTACTTGTATATGTACTGTTTATTTCCTTTCTAAGGGATCTTTACCTTCTTTACCTTCTTTTCCTTCACCTTCTGCACTCTGTAAAATATGTTAATCAAATACATCCAGTCGTCCACTTCTGAATGATCACTATTTATGGAAGCGATTTTACATAAGCAGCAATGCTTGTTATTGTATCCATATATTGTATGTTAAATATATCTGTGATTCACTAAGAAATAAAATATTGTTTAAAATAATACTGAATACAAAGAAGCAAATGAGAAAATGTAGACCGAACACAAAATATGAAGTCTAACGATCGAACCAGAAGTGCCATCATCTTGAAACGTGAAAAATCCCTAAGGCTTACAGACATGGGAGTTACATTTTCTGAATCTATGAAGGAATGCCTAAAAAAAGTTCAGAGCAGAATTTAGGTCAACTGATAGTCACCATTTTGAATTGAATATGAAAAATGGTGAAAAATCTACATTAAAAGGCTTGTAAATATAACCACAATAGTCCGTAGTTTGTTGAATTCGTCTCCTATATCTGAAAATAATGCATTTCTGGATAGCCTGGCCCATGGTCGAATTTTGGGTATTTGAAAAATTCAAAATTTCGAATTTCGTGCCGACAAAGTTGTTTACGAATGAAAAATCTGCATTAACAGCTTGGAAATACTCGGAATAGGCCATAGTTTCGTGAATTCGTCTCCTATTTGCGAAATTAATACATTCCTGGTTAGCCTCCTTCCACAAATGGGTGGTACTTTGGAATGAATATATTTTCAAAAAGTTTTACGAATCCAAAATCACTGAATTTTACTGACAAAAACAGTTGACCTAGCTGTAACTTTGTGACTTTTTGACCTATTTTACTAATTCTTTTTTCTTTGAGTACCTTGAAACATTTACTTTAAATCTTAGTACGATTTACATGAAATTGAGAATGTAAGTAGATCTGATTAGTCCAACCTCAACATGTCATTAGAAATTTTCTAACCTATCTCCCCTTGGAGAGAAATTAAGGATCAAAATTTTCAAAAAAT